TTTTTATATATTTAATTTTTGTATATATTATATTTATATAAATTATAAGTTAATTTATTATTGTTATAATTGTATAAAAAGAAATATAACCATTATTTAAAAATAACAATACATAAAATAAAAATACATTATAATTAAAGTACATAAAAGGTGGATCCCCAACAATTATTCTTGAAGCTGTAGCTGATTACGACCTTTGGATATGGCAATGCATATTTTGGTATGCCCGGTACCAACAATGACATTAACGTTTTAGAATCATCAAATTTATTCTCCAATCTCGCTAATGGTATTGCTCCTCCAGCGCGCTATGTTATTCATGGAAAAGAATATGACACCGGTTATTATTTAGCTGACGGTATATATCCAAAATGGTCTACTATTGTACAAACTATTCGGGAACCACATTCAGCAAAGAAGAGATATTTTGCAATGAAACAAGAATCAAAAAGAAAAGATATTGAACGTGCATTCGGAGTTTTGCAATTGTTGCAGGCCCGTCACGTTTTTGGAGAAAAGAGGTCCTACGTGATATAATGACCACATGTATTATACTGCACAACATGATAATTGAGGACGAGCGTGATCTTAATGCACCAATTGAAGATGCGCGTGAATGTCCAGCTCCTACGGTAGAAATGGTAGTAGATCAAGATCACCGATTTGAACAATTTTTAATTCGACAAAAAATTAAGGATAAAGATGCGCATTTCGCACTTCGTAATGCATTAATCGAGCATTTATGGGAGAATAGAGGCGAAAATTAAATATTTATGTGGTACTTAAATTAAATTTGACTATGATGTAATATTTATTTAATTATGTTTTATTAATGATTTCACTTTTTGTTAATTTATCCTTTATGTAAAATTTTATAATAAATGATTATATAAGTGGTGAATGTGAATTATATATAATGAATATGGAAAAAAGAAAAAATATAGTATTAGTTTGAAGGAAATAAAAAATGAAAAGTAAATAGAAGATAATAATATAATATAGAAGAGAGAGAAGATTTGGTGTAAAAAAATAGTGTGATTGTTGGAGTAGATTTGATGTTGCACCATTTTAGAGTAAAAAATAGTGCAAAAAATAGAGTGATTGTTGGAGATGCCCTTATTGCATGGCTATTTCCTAGTATCTTCCACTAATTAATGTTTGTGGACAACAATCGAGGTGAGTCAGAACTTAGAATTTTATGAGTTTCAAATTGTCTTTTAACATATTTGGCCGGTTGATTAAAATTATTTCAGTCGTTAGCCAAGTATATAAAATATATATATTGGTTATGTATAAAATATATATTACATATATATTACACAGTAATATACTAAAATATGCATTTGTTGGCAATCATTTTGATTTTTGGAGAATTAAATTCTAGGATAGATCATGTGTTAGTAATTGGGTTCTGAACTTAATTTTTGTACTTATTTTATAAAAAATTAAATCAATTAGAGAGTTTGGATTAAAGCCACTAAATTCGAGTAAACCCATAACTAACCTTATAGCTCCGTCTTTGATTGCAAGACTATACAATTTATGGCTTAATAATTGAGGCACCCAAAGAAAGTACTCCCTATGATCATCACAAGATCAAGACTACTAAAGTTAGATAAATTTTGCTTGTCCTTCTTTGTGTTTTAGGCTACTTATGAGTTAAAAGCAAAATAAATGCACCAACAATTAGGTATTACGTTTAAATTATCTTTTCATAACATCTTTGCCCTCTAGGGATAGGGGTAAAGTCTGCGTACACACTACCCTCCCCAAACCCCGGCCACTTGAGGATTGTCAAGCCTGATTTCGAACCCAAATATGTGTTCATATCCAAATATGTTCGACGAATTAATTTCCTAGTGTGTTCAGCCAAAATCACAAACAACTCAAGTGGTGACCCAAGAAGATCAGTGGGTTTCCCTTGAGGATTATCCTTATCCATCTGCTCTCATCTTTTTGACATTTATATTCAACATGCATGCATTGAATTTTCATAAGTGTACAAACTAGTTGCTTTTGAGTTTTGCCTCATCCGAGTTGTCTCCAAAAGGTATTTCTCCCACATTCTGCTCTTAAATCTTAACTATGTTTAAAGCTTTACGTGAAATTTATCTAAATTAGACTAACTTCATCGTTTTTCTGTGAATTTAACTTATCAATTGAGGCTAAAATGGGGAGGCGGAGATCCTTAATATTGAAATTGTACACTCGTGAAAGATAGTCAAAACCTACTGCTTGAAAGCACCTATTCCTTTTTGTCTCATGTTGCACTTCGGATTTTGAGGGTTAAGGTAATTTTTCATTCCACGATTTTTTCATATGCATTTAAATTAAATATTTTAAATTATTAAATATTGTGACTTATAGCACTTTTTATGTAGTTTCTAAATATGTAAATTTTATTTCAATAACTTAAAGAAATTATACCTGAATTGACGCTAAAAAATAAGAAGTTCAACTCTAAAATTCGAACTGCATCACATAATTGGAAAGAAAGGAGTTCATTGAAGAAAGAAACTCGATTAAAAGACTCATATTTGAAAAAGTTAAGCGGTAGAAATTCTAAAATTCCCCGATTTAATCACAACCAATATCGAAAACGTTAGGGGTGCTTTCATCAAATAATGCATATGGCTGGGCCACACTCGAACTCCTCATTAAACGACATTTGAATTAAACCATCATCTTATCATAGAGCTTTTTCTTATCAAAACGAAGCTCTTCGACCAAAAAGGCATTCTGATAGAGCTTGTTAATTCAGAGTGCAATGACGGTACTTTTGATGGTACATATGAAAAGATGGACAACATATATTTGGACCACGCCAACATGAAATTAATGTATTGTCTTTCTTCTCAAATACATTTGTCAACAATTTTTTTGTTGTCATATGTTGATTGTTAATTCAGAAATACCTTTGGCGACAATAATAAAGTCATTATATGCATGTCGTTGCAATAACATTCGATGAAAAAATTACATGCAACAAGAATTAAAGTTATCGCGAAAAAGTAAGTTAACCCCCCTAAAAAAAGTCCCCACATATTATATTTTGCTGTTAAAACATCATGTAATAGTGGTCTATAAAAATATTCAACAACAGAACTGTGACGACCCAAAGGGTCATCACCTGTTTTCTCATTCATCCCGTGCTTCCGAGGCCTTGAAAACCTCATTTTTACTTGCCTCAATTTGCGTGCGCTGTCCGAGCGCGTAGCCGGAAAGCTTAAATATGAATTCTGTGTAAAAATTTATGAATTTTGATATTATTATGATTAAAGTTGACTTTGGTCAACATTTTTGGTAAACGAACCCGGACCCGTGATTTGACGGTCCCGGAGGGTCCGTAGAAAAATATGGGACTCAGGCATATGCCCGGAGTCGAATTCAGAGGTCCAGAGCCCGAGAAATGAATTTTTCTGTGAAATTGTTTTTCTGAAATTTATATGAAAATTTGAAATGAAAATTGATTAAAAGACTGTGGTATCGGGCTCGTATTTTGGTTCCGACGCCCGGTACAAGTCTTATATATGGTTTAAGCGCTTTCTGTGAAATTTGGTTGAAACCGGACATCATTTGACGTGTCTCGGACCCAAATATCTAAAATATGAAGTTTATGAAGTTTGATGAAAAAGTGATGATTTTGAGGTTTGATTCCTCGTTTTTGATGTTATTTTGGCGATTTAATCGCATGGTTAAGTCCGTAAGATGTTGTCGAGTTAGTGTGTATGATAGGTTAGGAGCCCCGAGGGCTCGGGGGTGTTTTCGGAGGTTTTCGGGGTAGTTTTGGACTTAGGGAGTTAGCAGATTTTCTGCAATTTTTACACAGGGATTTTCTTCATCGCGTTCGCACTAGCTCTCCTGCGTTCGCATAGCCTTGCTCCCTTTTCTCCTTCGCGTTCGCGTTCTGGCCATCGCGATCGCGAAGCTTGCTGCTTCCTTCAACGCGTTTGCGTGTCTCCTCACGCGTTCGCGTAGGCCCAGATCCCGGACCCCAGCCATTTACTCTACGCGTTCGCATACCCCCTGTCGCGAACGCGGTGCTTCCCAGCCCCCCTTCTTCGCGAACGCGACCCCCATGTCGCGAACGCGAAAGGCAAATTTGTCCAGCAATTTTAAATACCCAAAACAGAACCCATTTTGGGATTTTCCCCCATTTCACGAAAACCTTTCTTCTCCACAGCCTTGTAGAGATTCTTGGAGCATTTCTTCACCAAATATTCTTGGGTAAGTATTACCTAACTCATTTTCTTCATTTTCTATCATCATCCAATGAAATCCTTGGCCTAGAACATGTAATCTAGGGTTGAAATTGGGGGAAATGGGTAGTGTTAGGGCTTTTCGATTTTCTTGAATTTAGACCTCGTTTTGGGGTCGAATTTGAAAACAAATTGTATATTCGGGCTCGTGGGGGGATGGGTAACATGGAATTGGTTCGAACCTCGTGTTTTGACCAAGCGGGCCCGGGAGCGATTTTGGAATTTTTAGAAGAGAGCTTGGAAATTCATATTTAAGTATTGGGTTTAGTTTGTTTAACTATTATTAATATTGTAAAGTCATTATTTCATAGATTTGACTGAGTTGGAGCCGAATTCGAGGGGTAAAGCTATACTAGAGGCTTGAGTTGAGTTTGGAGCATCCGAGGTAAGTGTTTGATCTAACTTTGGCTTGAGGGAATA